CCCTAACATCGCCACATTTTACAGCTGAATTCCACTTCCCTGCTCCTCCGTTTTAAAGATAAAAGGTACAACAGTTAACTTCTAAAAATAGCTGATATTAATGTTTCTTCTATTAGGAAAAAAAGTGATGCCCATCACTTTATATTTATTGACACTGATTCCTAAAGAAAAGCACAAAAGGTTTCCTTTAGAAAAAGACTGATTACAGACTACAGGAGAAATAAGCCAGATGGTCCCCCTAGTGGCCTAGAAAACTACCACTCTCCAGAGTACCACCTCTGCCTAAGCAATCAACACCTAATAAAAATCCAGTCCTTCTAGAAAAGCTGCAGATTCACGCCGACAAGACCCATTTGGTTGCAGAGATACTGAAATGACCCTCTAAAGGTTTGTACAATCGTCAGAGAGGGAGAAGAACAAAGCAAGTGTCACAAGCTGAGCTGTGAAACATTACCTTCTGGCAGTAACTGAGTAACTGTGCTCCCCTTCTTCCCTCATAACAGCTTTCTTTTATTCCACTGTGACTCCCAGGTTGTCCTGGAAATACGCATGCTCCAGCATACAGGCACCTGTGGGTCTGTGCGCATGCGCGTGTGCACACACACGTGCTCGCGTGCACGCCTTCCCCCCCCCCCACACACACACTCCCACGAGTCCCATGGATTGTGCATCTACAGGGTCTGGAACAAGGCTATTAAGGAAGTCTCACTAATTTGTCTAAGTATGTAAAAGTTATAATCAAACTAAAGAACTGTTGAATAAAATCTCTCCTATCCTCTTAAAAGGTCACAGATACCCCTCCATGGCAATACATTTTTTTAAATGCGTAAAACTATGGTTTTTATATGACTGAACACAAACAAAATACCAAAGGCAACTAAAGTTAAGTATTATTGCATATCTGAGTATTCAATGATGGGCCAGAATTGTTTGGAATGAATACCAGTAAAGATATCCCTAAGCCATGGATTTTAATTATACTGTAATTCTTTTGTTCTTCCTATATTCCAGTAAAATCAAGAATTGTGCTATTGTCATCTAGACTGTCAGATAATATGCATTCTATTAATAGAATGTCAAATTAGACTACTTTTCTTAACTTGCTCTTAGTTTCTTATTATTTTCAATTATAAAAACCTTGACTGTGTTGAAGCAGGAGCAATAAGAATCATCAACAAAATTCTTAAGGCAATACTTGAACTTAGACATGAACCATGAATCTTCCATATCCTGTTCAAGTCTCACAATGGAGCATCTAGGTTAATTATTTTTATTACATAAAATATTAGAGAGTATTTTAATTTTATTATTGAAATCACTATCATTTATATTACACTATCTACTGTCTATTAAAGCAATATCCAAAACTTTACGGCATTTCTTAAATTCTACTTCTTTCAATTTTTTTTTAATGCGATATAAAGAGAAAACTGAAAATAATGGTACATTACTCAGTTTAAGTCTCTCTTCATTTAAGACTATGCCTTCAACCAAAAGAGCCAGAAAGTAGACCCCATAAGAAATTAGTGTCAGGGCTATTTGTACGGTTCATTTCAAGGCCTGGTGCATGGTTGTCATCCTGGAACACAACTTCTCTGCCTTCAGTTGGACTTCCCATTCCTAGAAGTGTATTTCCAGACACCTAGCTTCATTACACTCTCTCACTAGATTTATAGCTTACTACTGTTTATAATTTCACAGTTGATTCTTTTTTTTTTAAGATTTTATTTATTGACTGATTTATTTAGAGGGACAGAGATCACAAGCAGGGTGGGGACAGACAGAGGGAAAGGGAGAATCTTAAGCAGACTCCACGCTGAGTCAGGGCCCTAAGATCATGACCTGAGCAGAAATCAAGAGTCGGATGCTTAACTGACTGAGCCACCCTGTCACCCTCCACAGTCATTTCTATTCAATATTGACAGAATTGTGCCATTCGTCTCCAGCGTTGATGTCAGGAAGTCCAAAGCCATTTAGCTTCTAGCGCCCTTGTATGTATATAGCCTATTTGGTTAGTCTCAAAGATTTTAGAACATTCTCTTCTGAGATAGGTGCATGGCTGGCTCTTCTTCCTCATTATCTAATTCTCTGCTGATTTCTGTAGGGATCTTTCTTGATCAAGGAAGCTCCCACATATCACTCCCACATCACCATTTTTTTTAAAGATTCCATTTATTTATTTCAGAGAGAGAGAAAGACAGAGTGTGAGCCTGAGTAGAGGGAGAGGCAGAGGGAGAGAAAGAGAAGCAGACCCCCCTCTTGAAAGGGAGCCCAATATGGGGCTCAATTCCAAGACCCCGGGACTGTGACCCAAGCCAAAGGCAGACACTTAACAAACAAGCCACCCAGGGACCCCCCACATCACCTTATTTTATTTACATCAAAGTACATATTGTTATATGGTATTTTCTAGTTTTACTCTTTTCTATATTGTCCATTAAATAAACTGTAAGTTTTACAAGAATTCATGTGCTTCTGAATCCCCAGAGCCTAGGACAGTGAGCAGGTATTCAATAAATGGTTATTGGGTAAATGAATAAAAGCCTGTGTACTAGCTTTACTTCCAGAAGTAGAGTAAGAATAACTTTTCAATTGATATTTCTAAATTACGTGAAACAGGATCATGTGTAGGATCCATTCTTGTCATGGTGTTTATATTTACTACAAACATGTCTTCTGGCAATAGTAAATTATAAATCAGGAGGAGCCCAAAAACTTTAAAACTAAAATCGAACTTCTGAGCAGTTCAATTTGTCTTCAGAAAGCAAAAGCCTCAGGCCAAATTATCTCCTTTCCTTACAAAAAATTCATAGTTATTAGGTTAAGAGTTAACGTCATCATCTTGATTCCAGTAGAGCAATGACCTAAAGAAGAAAACCCAGCAAGGTATGCAAGCATGTAGGCTTCAGTATTAGATGACCTTGGTCCTGATCCAAGTTTTGCCATGTAGGAGCTACCTGTCCCTGGGTTTGTTATTTAACCTCTAAGCTACAGTCTCCGAATTATGACAGTACTTATCTCCTAGGCTATGATGAGGGTCCAAGCAGATCATTCATTTAAAATTCCAGGCAGAGTCCCTGAGCATTAATAAATGTTATCTATAATTATTGTAAGAAATTATCTATTTGAACATTTTCACATTCTTTGCAAAATCTTGGCTGAAAGTATTATTCATTACATTGCATGAAATAATTTCCTCTCTTAGCTCAGTGCTAATACAAAAATGCCTCTTCAAACACACTTGAGATTTTCCTTAATCAGGTGGAGCAAAATATATGACTGATGATGTTTTCTTTCTAGAAGGAAACTCAGGTCATTTGCCAAAATAACCTCTTCCAGATACCTTTTTTTCTACTTTTTTTTTCTTAGCTGGCTTTCCTTGATTTTGTTTTCAGTATTTCTTTTTTATGTTGTGTTTAACTTTGTATCTTACGGCTCTACTATTTACCAACTGAGTGACCCTCGGAACTTTTTTAACATCTGAACTTCCACTTCCCTGGTCTGTCAAATGAGAATTGTTGTGAGCACCAATGATACTGTCACCTAGCACCCCTTTCCATATCTGCTCCTCTACTCCATCCATATGCCCTTGCACCCGTACAAGGGCCCACCCTCTAGATTAGTCTAGAAATGGACTTCTAATTCAAGCCCGACCAAGGAGACAGTTGCCAGGAATTTTGGACTTGGGACTGAAAGAGTCTGGTCAGTTTCCTTCTAGTGACTGAAACTGCAAGACGTAAACCTCAGGGGTTGCTAGTGGCTATTTCCCACATATGGAAATAGCCAGTGCACAGCGAAAGAAGAATTACTGTAAGCTATAGAGAAGAGGAAGACAAGGAGTTCTAATGGTTCTAATGGTTCCTAAGTTCTTGCTCTTCCTATGCCTGGCTGTTCCATGAGACATCCTACTATCTTTCCAATAAAGTCTCCTTTCTGCATACATAATTTGGATTTGATATCCAGCACTTGAAACCAAAATAGTTCTAATATGTAGAAAATAAACTATTTTGAATAATTGTTATAAAAAATAAACAAGTGGGGCACCCGGGTGCCTCAGTAGGTTAAGCGTCTGCCTTGGGCTCAGGTCATGATCCCAAGGTCCGGGGATCATGCCCCGAGTCGAGGCTCCTTGCTCAGTGGGGAGCTGCTTCTCCCTCTGCTGCTCTCCCCCACTTGTACATGCTCTCTCTCTCTATGTCAAATAAATAAAATCTTTTTTGAAAAAATTAAAAGTAAAAGTAAAAGAAATAAAACAATTAAGTGCCTAGCATACTACCTGGCATATAATATTCACTCAAGAAATGATACCTATTGGGGCACCTGGGTAGCTCAGTGGGTTAAAGCCTCTGCCTTCGGCTTGGGTCATGATCCCAGGGTCCTGGGATCGAACCCCACATCGGGCTCTCTGCTCAGCGGTGAGCCTACTTCTCTTCCTCTCTCTCTGCCTGCCTCTCTGCCTACTTGTGATCTCTGTCAAATAAACAAATAAAATCTTAAAAAAAAAAAGAAAGAAGAAAGAAATGATATCTATTAACATTATTTAGAAGATGGAGGTACAAATTCTAAATCAATTAATTAATGAACACAATTTTAATAGGTTATAAATCTTTTTTTTTTCTTGCAGTTTCAAAATTACTCAAAGGTATTCTTTGGTTTGGGATCTTGAAAGAATTGCAAAATAAGAGAAATGCTCTGATTAAGTTTGCTACATATCACCGTATAAATCTAAGTAACTCATACATATACTTAAATAATCTTAGAGAATAATAAAATCTCAGATCCAGTAACCCTCCATTTCCTACTTAACTCACTTGTTCAGGGTAAATATATGGAGGAAAATTAGAAAAAGAATTACAGACTAACATTCCACAGGTCCCTCATACACAAAAATAAGTCAGACACATTTAAGTGTGTAAAATACTGATTTGGCTGCATTCACAGAAGTCTTCAGATTTTATAAAGGATGCAATATAGCAAAGAAAAAAATGGAATCACCATACCTGTAGAGATACCACGCTGACGTTATCAAAATGGATATGTCCATTAGGCTCTGTGACAGCTGGATTTGCATAACACGTCACACCATTGATGGCAGGTAATGTTTTAGGTTGATGAGTTTTCTCATGAGAAGGACCAAAGTCATCATTTCTAAAGTGAGTGTGATCATTCTACATAAAAAAATTTAAAAAGCAAGAGAAGGTTATAAGAATAAAAAATGATGGCTCACACAAAGTAGAGAGTTTAGTGCTTTTTATTTGTAAGAGAAAATTCACACATCTATTCAATATACAATCTTTTTAGACTTACAAATGTATCTTCATTTATTATGTTATGTTTTCTCATGTTAGGGTATATATCCCTTCTTAGATTGATGAACACAAATGAACACAGATTGTGCACATTTTTCTTGACATTAAATTATTGGTATTTATTCCAAATTCTACACTGTGAATCGTTTCTCTTATATTTATGAATATACTGACTTTTTTCTTTCTCCTCACATTCACAAGTCGAATAACTGAGCTGTTCACGTAATTATAAGAATAAAATTCCCGAGGCACCAGGGTGGCTCAGTCAGTTAAGCATCTGACTCTTGAATTCAGGTCAAGCTATGATTTCAGGGTTGTGAGATAGAGCCCTGTGGCAGGCTCTGTGCTGGGCATGGAGCCTGCTTGAGATTCTGTCTCTCTCTCTCTCTTTCTGCCTCTCCCCTCTGCTCATGCTTTCTCTCTTTCTCAAAAAAAATAAAATAAAATAAAATTCTTGCCTTATTTGCCTAGAAAGCTATATAAAGTAGATTTAAGGGGTCAAACATTTTCAATAAAGTCTATTTACCTGACCATATGTCTTTAATAACATCTTAAGCACTCTTTCAAAAAAGAAAAGCAAGTAAAATCCACCAAACACAGCAACTGCCTTCTCAACATAGTTGTCACTTTTGGGATTGAATCCAAATGCCTGAAAGAGGAAAAAAAAAAAAAAAATCAGGTAAAACAAGTAATTTAACCTGACTTCTGAAAAACAATACATCTTTCAGTATACAATTTTCATCAAAGTTCTAAGCCCATCTTCAGATCAGGTAATATAGGGAATTTAACCACCAAAATCACAAAAAAAAACTCTGAAACTTAAGTAACCAAACTGTAAGAGATCATATAGGAGTCTTATAACCAGAAGAAGTTCTATTACTAAAACCCCCAGAGTATCTTATAGTTTCCTGACTATAAGACAGTTTCCTACCTTCAACAATATTTACCTTGAAAGAGAAAGCTTTTCATAGTAAAGGAGAAGCACTGATTCCCACCTTTATAGATAATATTAGATATGAGTAATAAAGAAAAATGAGACACTGATAATCCATTTTCTCTAAAAGTAATATACTTGTCCATTATATCCAGATTCAAATTTTTAAAGCAAATATGACAAGCCATTTGGATTACTGTTTTCCCAAGAGAGATCCTTTTAAACCCAGAGGATCCTGGTTGGCCCTAAAGAGATAAAGAACTCAAGGGCTGGGCCCAAGAATGAAGAAAAGATTTCTTTCACACCCACACATACCCATGAGAATGAAATAATCTACCATTTAAAGGACATGGGGCAAGAGCTAGGGTTTGAAATTATGAAGAGCCCAGGTTTTCCTACCAGACAAGATACACAAACTTAAATAAAAGCTACAATGAATGTCTGAGGACACTTTGTGGTATCTCTTCAATAAATCTGACATTGCAGGCTCTTCAAAAAATAAATAAATAATAAAAGTATGTAGAAAAATTAAGGTTGCCAAATGCAAGACAAAATAAAGTTTCAGGCCCTCAGAGGTGTCCCAGAGCTGTCTGGGCACGTCCTGGTGGCTGGCCTCCTAGAATATTAATTTTATCTCTGACACTGATATCCCCTGTAGCTTGAGACAAGCTTTTTCATCTACTGTGATTCAGCTCTCTCTTCTTCAATGCTATCAACCAGACCATAAAATGCTGTGAGAATTATGGAGCCTTAAAATGTACAAAGTGCTAGGGGCGCCTGGGTGGCTCAGTGGGTTAAGCCGCTGCCTTCAGCTCAGGTCATGATCTCAGGGTCCTGGGATCGAGCCCCGCATCGGGCTCTCTGCTCAGCAGGGAGCCTGCTTCCTCCTCTCTCTCTGCCTGCCTCTCTGCCTGCTTTGTGATCTCTCTCTGTCAAATAAATAAATAAAATCTTTAAAAAAAAAAATGTACAAAGTGCTAAAACATCTAAAAGGAACAATTATTCACAGAAACAAACAGCCAAGATCCTTACCTCTGGAATAAGCTGGAAAATGGCATTTGAAAATAGAGTCCCAATAGCCAGACCCACGAAAAAGGTCAAAACCTTAGGGAAGTAAGATTTCTTTAGCAGTGGAGTCAAAATCAATCCGAGGAGAGATGCCAGATTAATAATTGTCACTGACAGGAATCCATATCCCCAAACTGTAGATCAGAAGTAAAGAGCAGAAATTAATCAGAGCAATGAAGGCAAATGAAGTCTTACTGTACAAGAAGCTGAAACAACTTTTTCTTTAAAAGCTTGAAACAGATCTTCTTTAAAATAACAAGATCTTCTCAACAAAATTTATGCAGAAAACTGTGAACATAAATGCAGAATAATAAATATTAATAGTAATACTGCTTATACTGTCATCAGCCCTAAACCACTCAAAGGCTCAAAGAATTTTCTAGCTTGCTGGAAATGTGGAAGACATCTGGAATGGTGACAAACCACCTAAACCCCAGAGGCTTCAAGTCACCTACTTTGATCTGTAGCTCAAAGCCTCGTTTAAAACTCAGCCTTTCAGAGGAATATAGAGGTGGTATGAGTTTCAGGGGAAAAGTACAAAGTGATGGGTGGAGGGTAAGGGTGGAGATGGGTGGGTAGGAGTTAGCTTCAAGGTGACCAGAGTTGTGGACACTGCACTTGTCATAATCACTGGTCTGCAGGATCCTGTGGATTGCACTTCCTTGGGAAGGCAGCACCTCGGCCCTCCAGCTGGGGCCCCCAGGACTTGGACTCAGCCCCACGCGGTAAGCACTCAGGAGGGGAGCATGTGGGAACCAGGGAGTAGATTGTATTGACAAACTCTCCCAGATCAGGGCGAAAATATCCTGTGCAATGAGGACTCTGATGACAGAAGGGGGTGGCGAGTCTTTTGACTCTCTGTCCTGTAAGGTCTGGTATACCCAATAGGTGCTTAATATTGCTTACAATGAAATGAATGAATGTTATCCTAAGCTCTACATCTATCTTAAGCTCTGGCGTGTGTGACCTCCATTTCCCCAATTATCCTGGGGGTGGGGGTTGGTTTAAGGACACAATGGGAGTGCAAGCGAAGCATACCCAGGACATCTGCGGTCGGCAGTGCAGGCCCCGGAACCGCGAAACATGGCTTTACCTACGCCCCACCCGCTGTGCATGAAGGACAGCATGAAAGATGAGGAAGCTACCTCTGCCCTCTTGCTTCTTTAAAATGCCCAGAAAACATTTTTAAATGTTAGGCCCTTTCCTTACGACACTCTCGGTGGAGTATTGCAGCAACACCTAATGCTAATGAGTATTTGCCACTGCCAGATACATGCCAAGAAACTGACATGTAGGGACACCTGGGTGGCTCCGTCGGTTAGGCAGCTGCCTTCTGCTCTGGTCATGATCCCGGGGTCCTGGGATGGAGCCCCGCATTGGGCTCCCTGCTCAGCGGGGAGTCGGCTTCTCTCTCTCCCTCTGCCTGCTGCTCCCCCTGCTTGTGCTCTCTCTCTCACTCTCACTCTGTCAAATAAAATCTTGAAAGAAAGAGAGAAAGAAAGAAAGAAAGAAAGAAAGAAAGAAAGAAAGAAAGAAAGA